AAATGGAATCACTGCTCTTTTGACAGGTGCCATCTCAGTGGCATCACTGGCAAGTCCAAATTGCCTGACACACTGGTAACCAATGACTGGGGGTCAGGTCCCAACAGATGTCTGGGCTTAAGGGAGTTAAGTCTATGCTGAAAGACGGAAAGGGAGAAGAGGACATAAAAGTGAATTTGTTTTTCCATACCACAAGGCTTTTGTGTGCCAAGGTGGCCATGTGTGTCAAAGCCAGGGAATCCCTCCTCCTGGAAGCCAAGAGGAAGTCTCTCAAAACTAGAAGGGAAAGTCGTTTCCCCACATCAATCCAGCTTTGGAGACATTCTATTAGTGACATATGCCCCTTCCCCCAAAACAACAATGAAGTGTTCTGTGTGCTAACAACATAGCTTAAAAAAAAAAAAAGAAAGTAAAACAAAATTCTGCATTTTTATAAAACTTCATAAAAATAGTATTTCAAACTGTACAGTCACCAGAAGTACACAGTTATCAAAAATGCGCACACTTCACTTGGCATCTCCAGCACCTTCGGCTTTCTGTGCCTGGTCTGTTTTGGCATCTCCATTTTCTGCAGGGTTATTCCCTTCCTTGCCATCATCAGCTTTTCCCTTTTTCCCTTTGGGTACCTTCTCTCCCTTTTTTGCAGGGGCCTTTTTAGGCTTGGGCTCTGGCTTTGGAGGAGCAGGTTTAGCAGACAACCTCGCGGATCTTCTCTGTGGTTCGTCCTCCACTTTGGCTTTATCTCCTTCAGCATCCCCTTCAGCCTTTCTCTTGGGCATGGTGGCGATGGCGGCGGGACGTAGGCGCTGGGCGTGGGATGCAGCCGCACGTGGGCTTCAGTCTGTCCGAGGGTCGTTCTCGCCTCCTCTTCTTCACACTGCTCCAAAAATGTTTTTAAGAAGATAGATGTTTGAGGTGACTGGTACCCTAAATACCCCGATTTGATCATTACATATTGTATGCATATGTAAATATTTACATGTACCCCATAAATATGTACAATTATTAGTATCAATTAAAAATTTTAAAATACATAAATTAGATAATACTTTAATAATAATATGAAAGCTTCCTGCTCAGTCCTTTTATCATTTATTCTTACAGTTTGACATCTGAAAGTCTTCAACAAGGAACTAGTTACATTAGAGAATGGGAGAACAGATACAAGGCTTCAAAACCTCACATGTGCCCCAGGCTTACTGAGGGCTCAATTTATTTGCTCCCTGAATTGTTATTTTTATAAAGAAACAAATAAACAAAAAATGACATAAGCAATTCCCAATGAAAATCAAATTCGCTTTAGTGAGCCCCTACCATTCCACCACTAAATGAGATAAAAGAGACCGACAGTACAAGAAAATCATGATTTTTAAAAAAAATCTGACTCAACCAGAGTTCTTTGGCATCCTGTATGCAAAATTCATATCGTGTTTACTTTTCCCAGTTGGTCATTTGACAGGATATCTAAATAGAAAAACTAAATATGGATGGCTATCTTATCATGGAATGTCAGGAAATTATGGACTTGACTTTAGGATAAAAAAAATACAGATATTCAAGTTTCCCCAAATTCTTCCTATGCAGTCCACTGGGATAGCATATCTTTTCTGCAAGTAGAAAGTATTGAAACAAAGATCCCATAAACAACCTCTTAAATAAAGTCACGGTCTTTTCACCCATTTAATCAAGCCTTCATTTTATGATATGTGGGTACAATTATTATTTCTGTGTCAGAGATAAGGATCCTAGCATAGAAAAGTTAAGTTACTGGCCAGGCATCCTGGATCCTGCCTGTAATCCCAGCACTTTGGTACCAACATGGCAAAACCCCATCTCTACTAAAAATACAAAAAAATTAGCCGGGTGTGGTAGCATGTGCCTGTAATTCCGGATACTCGGGAGGCTGAAGCACGAGAATGGCCTGAACCCAAGAGGCCAAAGTTGCAGTAAGCCGAGATCGTGCCACTGCTCTCCAGCCTAGGTGACAGAGCAAGACTGCCTCAAAAAAAAAAAAAAAAGGAAGGAAGAAAGAAAAGTTACCTAAGGAAGGCTCTCACTCCCAAGGCAACACCTTTAACCACTATGCAAAGTGCCTCTCCTTTTCTCTGCCAAGATAGTAAAGAAATTAATGGTCCTCAGTCTTTTCATAGGATGTAAAAAGAAAAAATAGTAGAGCTTTTAAATAACTCTTCACGATAAGAGTTTTCACAAATAGGTCTACTTTTAGTATAAACCATATATACCAGAATGTTCCAGGCAAGTGGTTATAACTATTTCACACTTCCATTTCTCCGTGTTACAATAAGACTACCAGTTTCTACCCCTTTCCTATTTTCATATAAATGTATGAAGTTGAGTAATATGATGTCAGCAAACATACTTTGAGCTTCTTGGAAACGTGGTACTATGTCAACACAAAATGGAAGGTTTATAAAAACAGTGTCAGTGTGGTATGTATCCAATGTAAAATGGACTAAATTATTTTATTAGAGATTGGGACAAAAATAGCTCTTTAATCTTATCTATTTTTTCATCGTTTTGCATATTGCCTGTGTCCGTGGCTTTCAAGGTCAATCTTAAATAGAAATAGGTCTGATAACGTGTTGATTGGATTAGCAGTTTATCATTCTCCTTATTGAGTAAATACTGCAATATCCAAGATCTCGCCTGTTTCCAGGTTTTGGAAAAATCTCAGGTCAAAATTTTGTTGCCAGATGGGATTATTACATAGAGGAAAGTTGGCGTGAATTTCCATATACCAAAGGCCATCCTAACTGTCTTTTAAATCCAACAGGCTTTTATTATAATTTAAAAATAGCCAGGTCACTCTAGGACTTTTTTCAGTGTTACCCAAACGTCCCTTTTACTGCCCAAACAGAAGTAGGCCATTATATCACAGTAGAAAATAAAAGAGGCTAGCGTGTGAGACCCAGGTAGTTTTAAAAGGCATGAAAGATGAGAGTCACCATTCTTATCTAGTGGCTCTGGACAGCATCACTTACAAACAGTACTGCCTCATGTACAGATAACAGTGCCTGACACTCATTATCTTTATCCAAAAGGCAGAGGTGAACAGAACACGTTCCCATGCATGTTCACATCTGCCTTTTGGATGAAGGGCAAGAAGAAAGGAGCATTTACCATTGAGAAAGAATTAGAAGACTTATTAGTCTCCTTTTAAAACTTTACATTCCACACAGAGTAACTCTTAGGGAGAATAACGCTGCAAAAATAATCAGCAATGTATTTCAGAGGTTCATCAGCTACTGCCTGACAGCTCACGTTAGTTGGATGGAGGCTCTGGATAGGTGTTTAGATTTGCTAACCTGTAATTTTGTTTCTAGAGTGGCCCAAAGTGGAAGGAGTTTTCACTCCCTCTCAGTAAGCCCTATTGTACAATTGTGACTTCTGGCCTGTTAATATTGACTGCCAGGTTTTTGAGGATAAGGGAGAGTTACCTGACATCTTTGGGGTGAAGGAGAGATGGAGGGAGCAAAGCTGCCAAAGACCTCCTGTGACTTTCCACTAGTATCCACCTATAAGTGCTGGACCATGATTTCCTGGGGAGAGCAGTGGCCCTAAAGACAGGCCCCTGGGCTATTTCCTGGCTCTGACGCAGCTTCAAACCTGCCATGTAACTGCTCAGTCTAAATGTATTCCTTTATGGAACTGAAATAATCCTGCTAAAATAACCTACTTTCTTTGCTTCATGATGTTTGGCTAAGAATAAGTAGCTGGGACTATAGGCGTGTGTCACCATGCCCATCTAATTTTTGTATTTTTTGCAGAGACAGGGTCTTGCCCTGTTACCCAGGCTGGTCTCGAACTCCTGGGTTTAAGCAATCTGCCCACTTTGGCTTCCCAAAGTGCTGGGATTACAGGTGTGAACCATCACACCTGTCTAAAATGTTTTGAAAAATAGACACATTGTAGAAATGTGAGATGTTGTGTGACATGTCACTGAAACAGGGTAGTATAAGAGAAAAGTTTTGGGAACTAGCAGACCAGAATTAGGCCTGTCTCAGAAAAGTGCAGTGGCGCAATCTCAGCTCACTGCAACCTCTTCCTCCCAGGTTCAAGCAATTCTCCTGCCTCAGCCTCCTGAGTAGCTGGGACTGCAGGCGCGTGCCACCACACCCAGCTAATTTTTGTATTTTTAGTAGAGACGAACGTCTCACCGTGTTGGCCAGGATGGTCTCCAACTCTTGACCTCGTGATCCGCCCGCCTCGGCCTCCCAAAGGGCTAGGAGGCATGAGCCACCGTGCCTGGCCCAAAGAAAGCTTTTTAAAAGCAAAGGCAACTTGATTTGTTAATTTATCATCCAACTTCTTAAGTGTATTTTTCTCATGGTAAAATAGAGAACATTGTGGGTGAGGAGCAAGTTGGGAGATGGAATTCTCCCCGCCGCCCCAATAGATTGTATGTGTGGGTCGCTATTGCTGGGACCCACTAGGGTTCTAGACTGAGGCACAGGGTAGTAGTGGGTAGAAGTGGGATCCTCGGCAGGGCAGTGTCAGATGTGTCTGTGTGATGTAGTAATGGGAGAGGCACGAGTCTTGGGCGAGTGTATCTTAGGGGTGTGGAAGTGTCTGCAAGGGCCTCCGTGGTTTGTCATCACATGATATGTCATGGGCATGACCCTGAACGTTCACCCGAGGGTGGTGAGAGAGAGAAGGCCAGGATTTGAATCAGTCTTGACAGAGCAGATGAAGTTATTGTTTTTTGCCCTTCCCAAGGGACTCTGGAAATGGCCCCCTGGGAGGTGAATTCTTGGAAAGAATACGAGGGCAGTTAAGACGCCTCTGTCTCAAACTCTCCGGGTTTTTTGCAGCTACCAGGGACTGCGAGGGTCTGCGTCCTGGGTGGAAGGAAGCGGCGTCAGTCAACTTCCTCGCAGCGGCTGCAGCGGCGCAGGCAGCGGCGGAGCGCGCGGGTCTGCGCATCCCGCCCCCAGGTCGGGAAGGGGCGGAGCCGGGCGTCACCCGCCCCCGGCGGTCTCCTCCCCTCGGCCGCTCCCCCGAGCCTAGCCCGCCGCGGTCATAACCGCCCGCGGGAAGCTGGTGGCCGGGACCCCGAGGCGGGAGTGCGGGCTGGGCCGGGTTAGGCTGCGCGCGCGGGCTCGGCCGCCGCCCCTGCCGGTGAGTCCCGCCGCGGGAGGCGCGGAGCGGGTCGAGTGGGGTATCGGGACTGCGAGGTCGGGGAGCCCCGGGGCCCGAGCTCGGGAGGCGGGGACGGCTTGATCGCGGCGTTGGGGAGTCCTCGCACCCGATCCCGGAGGGGAGGTCCAGAGCCGCAGCGTTGGGGAACCCGAGGCCAGGGGCCGGAGTTTAGGGTCCCTATGTTGAGTCTCAGAATCCGAGCCCGGAAGGACGACGGGTCAGGATGTTGGGGAACCCTGGAGCTCTGAACGTCTGTAGCGGGGTGGCCAGGACTACGATGCTGGGGAGACATGGAGCCCGAGCCCGGAGAACTGGCGGGGGTGTCGGGGCCGCAGTGTTGGGGAGCTTGAGCCCGGAGGGCGGGAGATTCAGGACCGGGACGTGGGAGAGTCCAGCAGACGGAACTAGGGCGCGCTGTCCGCATTTTCGGGGCGCCCTCCGCAGGGCGGAGGGGAACGGAACTCTGGAGGGGAGTGCGAAGGGGAGGAAGACGGGGGCGGGAGGGGGAGCCCGAGGTAGGAGAGCCTCGGAAAGAGTAGAGTGGGGCTAGGCATGAGGTTTCGCCGGGGAAAGATGGAGGGGGCTTCTCCGAGTGGGTGGGCGCAAGGAGCGGAGTAGTGCTGAGAGCCGCGGGCGGCTGGTTAATGGGCAGATGCTGGGGCTTGGCGGGATGGGAACGCCGCGGCGGGGGGTCGGAGGTGGCTGGTGGGGCCAGAACGCTGGGAACGTCTGTCTCAGCTATGGGAACGCAGCGCTCTTGGTGGAGTAGGGTCGTAAACTACTCGAGAGGGAATCTAATCTGGAGAGCAAGACCAGGCATCCCCAGAGGAGGGCGGGTGGGGACCTCGCATTCAGCGCGCTTGGGGAGTATTAGGAGCCTGGGGTTGGGAGGCTGCTGCACCTCGCCGACCCGGTGCGGGGACCTGGAGGCAGCCGGGAACCGCAGCTTCCTGTGCAGCTGTGGGTGCTTCAGGCACCGGCAGATTAGCGGGAGGTTCAGGGGCCTTGGCAGGCTCATTGTCTTGACCTAAGTTGTATCCCATATTTTTTTCTTTCTTTTCTTTTCTTTTTTTTTTGAGTTGGAGTTTCGCTCTTGTTACCCAGGCTGGAGTGCAATGGCGCGATCTCGGCTCACCCCAACCTCCGCCTCCTGGGTTCAGGCAATTCTCCTGCCTCAGCCTCCTGAGTAGCTGGGATTACAAGCACGTGCCACCATGCCCAGCTAATTTTTTGTATGTTTAGTAGAGACGGGGTTTCACCATGTTGACCAGGATGGTCTCGATCTGTTGACCTCGTGATCCACCCGCCTCGGCCTCCCAAAGTGCTGGGATTACAGGCTTGAGCCACCGCGCCTGGCCGCCTCCCGTATTCCTGAGCTGGGTTAGAAATGTTTTGTATGGAAACCCGATGAGAAGAGCCTGGGCTAAAAAGAATAGTTACAGAGTCAGATTTCAAATGTGCAGGTAATACCTACCTGTGTGTGTGTGACTTAGGGATAACCCATATAATACAGGTTATGTGTGACTTTTAGACCCACGTGTACTTCTTGTCCAGTACTCTGTGAGATGCTGCTTCTGTGTAAAAACGAGGAAAATCCACAACCCATGCACACACCAAACAACGCTCACACACACACTGCCTTCCACAGTCGAGTAAACATGAGGGTATTGTGCAGTTTGGGATTGTGTCAGTGAAGACTCCTGTTCCTGAAGTTAACAGGAGTTGCCTGCCTGAAAGGTGGACTGCCCTTGACTTGCCCTGTTAAGATCATCCACAGCCTGTTCCCAACCCCGAATTGCTGCACCCTTGACCAAGTCAACTGGAAGGGAGCCAGACTGCTTAGGACCTCAGTGGATGAGTATCCAAGTGTGTATCTAAAAACAAAGGACCAAGGCACAGCTTTTGTTTTTGTTTTTTATTTGTGTTGTTTGTCCTTGGGTGCATGTCCTTCAATTATTAAATGTTGACTATCTTATATTAACTAATCTTGTATTGTTAATTATGTATGGTAATTAGTTCAGTTATTTGGTGTAACAAATATTCGGTGTTCCAATTCAGGAAGACCCAGAGTGGAGGAATCTTGTTAAGTATATCCATTGAAAGGATATGTTACGGTTATGTGTGGGGGTGGGGTGGGTTTTCTTCTGGTGCATATAGGTCCATCTTCTGACACACAGATTTGAGCGTCATTGGAAGAACAAGGATTATTTTGGCAACTAGCATTTGTTGGGTCTGTTTATCAATTCATGAAAAGGAAATCTCTAATAATTATTCAAGTTAACAGGACAGAAAGTGATTTATTCATTTTACAAGAATCATTTCAGGACAAGCATTTTTCCATTAAGGGTGTGTGTATGCCTTATTGAGTGGCAGGACCTTGCACCAAAATCTGCATTATCATTTCTGCAGCAGTATACTTACTCACTTGGACGTAATACTTGCTGATGCTTCCAGTTCTGTATCCAAATGTTAAAATAAATATGCCAGTATTTATACATTCAAATCAGTATTTCTCCCCTTCAGAAACCTAATCTTGGCAAGCTGTGTACTAATTCTAGTGATGCTGTCACTGCTGAGAATAATTTTGGAGCTCCTGCTTTGGAGTTGCCTTCAGAGTTTGCAACACATTTCCTGATTGCCTCAGTGATGGCCAACCTTCCTCAGCTGGGAAACAGCCAGGTACTGTGCAGGGCCAACTTGAGCTTCCGAGGTGGGGAATAGAGGTTGTCAATATGAAGTATGCCCATTAAAGTAATGAAAATTCTTTTGAAGGACCAGCAGTTTTAAAAGGGACATTCAGATGGCCGGGCATGGTGGCTCATGCCTATAATCCCAGCACTTTGGGAGGCCAAGGCGAGCGTATCATGAGGTCAAGAGATCGAGACCATCTTATCAACAAGGTGAAACCCCATCTCTACTAAAAATACAAAAATTAGCTGGGTGTGGTGGCGCGCGCCTGTAGTCCCAGCTACTTGGGAGGCTGAGGCAGGAGAATTGCTTGAACCCAGAGTGGAGGTTGCGGTGAGCCGAGATCGCGCCATTGCACTCCAGTCTGGGTAACAAGAGCGAAACTCTGTCTCAAAAATAAATAAATAAAATAAAAGGGACATTCAGTAACGGCATGGAGTATGTGTTTAGGATTGGAAGGAATTACGGTTGGTCCCTGAACAACACCGGGGTTAGGGTCTCCCATCACCTCCACAGTGGAAATTTTGAGTGCAATGTTTAACTCCCCAAAAACTTAACTGTATTTTGAAGCACAACCTTCCTTTTGGTGTTTATGCTCTGGTATGTTTCTGGTATGTGTATAAAGTAATTGGTCCTGTCACTTTATTGTAGCTGATGGCATATTAGGCTAGAAAAAGTAAGCCTTTCTTTCCTCCTTCCTGATACTTGTTACTAGGCAGCCTCCATCACTGTGGATTTTCACAGAAAGCAAAACAAAAATACAAAAGACTTGTTGTCTCACCAAAAAAAAAAAAGGAACCCAGAAAGCCATTGACCCCAGCTGTAGGTAATGCCTGGTGCTTGACTTTTGATGTGAAAGGATCTGTAGAAGTAAAGACGAGAATGATTTCTGAACATTCATTTCAACTTTGAGATTTCATGGCACACAGTATAAAAAAATGAGCTGAACATGTCTCTTTTTTAAATCCCCATTTTTTTTTCAGGTTGTGTATCATAAAGTGTCACACAGCCACTGCTTGAATCTTGATCTAGCTGTGATTTGGGGCAAGTTGTTTCATCTCTTTTGGCCTCAGTTTTCTTACCTTAAAATGAAGATATTAATGAGTATGTACCTCATGGGGCTGTGATAAAGATAAAATAACACTGATGCTTGTAGAACACTTAAGTTCCGTGCCCAGCACATCATGAGTGCTCAATAGATGGTAGCTATTCTTGTTAGGAATACTTACTAATCATTTGTAATTAAAATTCTTTTGAAGCCATATGGAAATTTATCATTTCCCAGGTAATGATATTCCCTTTGGCTGGATTTTGCAGCTAAATACAAAGAGAACATTTTGTTTTTTGCCCTCCTGGTCTTTTAAGAGTTTTTAACGGGTAACCTTAAAAGCAACTACAATTATTTCCTTTTTATTTATTCAGAAACGAGGAAACACAGACTCCAAATAAATGGGGTCAGTGCTCCCAGTTACTTTCTTTTGAATTCGTATTTTTTTTTTTAAATGAGCATTCCATTTATGATTTTGTATTAGGTATAACAGTTTGGTGTGGTAATGCAAATGTGAAAGAAAAGAGTTTAAAAGCCTCTCTAATTTTTTTTCCTTCATCCGGTGAAAATATTATTCTAATGAAACAGCTACAGTTCTCTTGGCATGTATTGAAAGAGATGATTCTGGTAAACATTCCCTTCATTCCAAATATGAGTTTTGCTCTGCTGCTTTTTTTTTAAACAATAGAGAAGAATAGCCTGGCACTGAAATCTCAGCTCTTCTGTAAATGTCAACGCTTTTTTTTTTTTCACGTTTATAAATTTTATTTACTATATATACATACATTTATTAGAAAGATGGGAAAGTTTCATCGTAATTTTAATCAGATGATTGGGGCTGCTATATAATAGTTAATGTTTTCTGAAATGTTGACCGTTTAGTGAGAATTCTCTGTTTTAAGCAAGCAAATGCTGAAGATGGAGAGGCTCAAGACACAGGCTTAGCCTTTCAGAAGTTCACATCATGTGCTCTCTTAGGATGATGCATGAACAAAAGTTTCTTCTCCTAATGGCCTGTGGAGCTAAGGATTAATATGGATTCCACTACATGATCTTTTCCCTCAATTTCTCCAAGAAGGGTAAATAGGTGGATCTCTCAATAATGTTTATATTTTTGAGGTGGATTAACTCTTTCAGAATTAGATCCCGATATGCACTCAGAGGCCATAAAAGGAGATAATAACTAAAAAGGTACTTAGTGAATTACAAAGTTATATATCTGTAGGATAGGGTGTTATTATTGCTGTACCAAACTTTCCTGGAATGTTGTGTTTGGTTCTTGCTCTGTCTTCTGAGTAGCAGTTTATGTACTTGTAAAGTACCAGGAAACAATATACATTGTGGCTTAGACTAGAGCCTTGAATCTTTTTTTTTTTTTTTTTTATTCCAGAGAAGGAGTCTTGCTCCATCACGCAGGCTGGAGTGCAATGATGCGATCTTGGCTCACTGCAACCTCCACCGCCCAGGTTCAAGTGATTCTCCTGCCTCAGCCTCCTGAGTAGCTGGGATTATAGGCGCATGCCACTATGCCCAGCTGATTTTTGTTATTTTTAGTAGAGATGGGGTTTTACCATGTTGGTCAGACTGATCTCGAACTCCTGACCTCGTAATCTGCCCATCTCGGCCTCTGAAACTACTGGGATTACAGGCTTGAGCCACCGTGCCTGGCCTGGAGCCATGATTCTTAATGGGGAAAAGTGGGTGGTGAATTTGCCCCTTTCCCCCAGAGGATGAACTTTTGTGATGTCTGGATTTCATTGTCATAACAGGAGGGGGAGGGATGTTACTGGCATTTAGTGGAGACCAGAGATGTTGCTATCCATCCTATAATGCACTGGACAGCCCCTCACAACAAAGAATTATCTGGTTCAAAACATCCGTAGTGCTCAGAAGCCCTTGGCTAGATTGTGGGATGTGGAGTAAGGATAAACCTGCATTAGCACCCTGACACTACCAGTTCTTAACTGTGCCACGCTGGGTGTGTTACTTAATCTGAGTATCCATAGAATGCATATCTGAAGAGATGTGAATTAAATGAGTGTGTACGAAATGCTCAGCACACAGAAGGATCGCAATAAATGTTAACTCTTAGTATCATGACTGTTAGTAGATGGAGGTCAAAATCCAAAGACTGTGCTTCAAACAGACACAGCTTTTATTTACAGAAAGAATCCAGGTTTCTTGTTTTCATTTGTGCACCCAAGAGTAGGGCAGGGGCACCGACTTAGGGCCTCCAGCATCCCTGGTACCCTCTGCATTCTGGCCTAGGTTCTGCCAGACAGTTAAGTGTAGTCTGCAGATCAACCAAGCAAACAGGACAGTCCCCCAGACTTGTGTAGTTGAAAGATGAGTTGAGGATGGAGGAGCTTTCTGTTCCATGTGAGCTACACTTGGAAGGAAGAGATAAGCCAGGAAGCTCCTTCTGATTGAACTTATGTCCCAGGCCTCTGAAGACTCTTCTCAGACCCCTGTCTAGACATGATCAGAGAATTTCCTCTGCTGTGTGAGGAGGTCTGGCCATTTCCCCTTCCTTTTGCTTTGCTTTAACTAGATATGGTGGTTCATGAAGTCTGTAATCCCAGCACTTTGGAAAACCCAGACAGGAAGACAGCTTGAGCCCTAAGAGTTCAAGGCCAACCAGGGCAATATGTCAAGACCCCATTTCTATAAAAAAATACAAAAATTAGTCAGGTGTGGTGACACGTGCCTGTAGTTCCAGCACGCACCTGCACACACACACACACACATACGCGTGCGCACACACACACATGAGCCACATGAATGAGTAATCAACTCAGCAACAAGCAGATCAGCAGCAGGGTGGAGTGGAGCAAATTCTGTGCACAGAGAATGTTTAGCAGACAAGGATGTAAATAAGTAACTGTTTTTTTTAGCTGTGATCTAGAAAGTATTGGTACTGTGGTTCTCAGTCCTGGCTATAGAATAGAATCACCTGGGGCTGCCTAAGAATATTGATGCCCCAGCCCCACCCCAGACCATTGTTATTAAGTCAAAGTGAGTAGCTCCTGGGTATCAGATTTTTTAAATTTTTGGATGATTCTGATGCCCATTGTGAGTTGAGGGTCAAGGACCACTGCCTTGTTAAATGAATGACTTGCATTAAAAAAATAAGAAAAGGTAATTAAAAATATCTTAGTAACAAGTATTGTTTTATTAAACTTTTGTTTAGTCCTGGGTGTATGCTGGCTTCTAATTGGTTGTGGTCAAAGTTTGAAAAACATTGTTTTGGAAACTTAGAGGTGTTTATAGTACTAACAAATTACCTTGTTGAATATTTCTGTGTGCATATCTGCTGGACAGTTTTCAAAGTGCTTTTATATATTTTCTCAAATATAACTTTTGCTACCATCCCATGAGGCATAAAGAATGATATGGTTTAGCTCTGGGTCCCCTACCCAAATCTCACCGTGAATTGTAATAATCCCCACATAGCAAGGGCTGGACCAGGTGGAAATAATTCAATCATGGCGGCAATTTCCCACATGCTGTTCTCTCCAGATCTGATGGTTTTATAAGGGGCTTCTCCTGAAAGAGATTTTTCTTTCCTCAGTGTCTTGGAGTGGTGTAGGTTTCCCAACCATCTAGGTGGCAAATAAATGGTTCATATTTTTCTATGTGAAGAATATTCAATACCATATCAGAGCAGTATTTGTTGAATGAGAGAATTAGTAATTATGATGAACGTTAATATACAATGGAGGTAATAGATGACTTCAAAATATCGAGACGAGTTCACGTAGGGAAGATCCAAGGCTGGTTCATCTCTCTTTCCAGGGTAACCTGGTTCCTGACTTTAATCAACCGTCAGTTCCTAGGGCCGTAAGAATTTGAGAAAGACCAGAGCTAGGGTTATTGATTTAAGAGCTTGTTGATTTTGAAATGCAGCTAATAGTAGAGATGGTGACATTTATCCTTCTAGGGT